AGCTGGGGAGGATGGGTGTCCTCCAACGGCCACTCATTCCTGCAAATTCAGGGGCTTAGCGTGCCTCCAACAATGCACCGAACCCTTTTGTCCCACGTACCTCAACCGACAGTCCCAGGCAGAGAGGCCGCATGGAAGCCGGGGCAGGGCTTCTGTACGCACCTGGCGGCACCACCCAACCCCACGCGGTTACCTGGAACCAACCAAGGGCACGGTGAAGCCAGCCTGGTAAGCTCTCATTTATATGAATCACAGTTTGCTTTGTGCACAGCAATTTGTTTGATTTTCTTAACTCTCATTCCACTGCGTATCAAAAGAGTTTCAGTGCAAGCGAAAATAAGCTGCAAAACGTGAGAGACCTTTAAAAAAGCAGAGGGGCATATGGGGGAAAGACACCACAGTCCACATAAATAAATGTCATCTTTATTTAACCAAATATAATTTATCAGTTAAGTTGACATCCGTCAATTCAGTTATAGGAACTATAAATAATTAAGACTGTCTTTTTTCTTTAATAAAAATAGTAAACCAGGATTTTTCATTTGCAGTCAGCTGTAGAGTAGGCATGCATTTGAGTGCAAACTGGTGGGAAAAGTTGTTGACCATCAATATCCTTCAATTTTAAATTAGATTCTTCCCCGACCTGTTCCCCGCACACCCCTTAGACCTCACATCAACACAGGGACGCCACCACCCCAGCAGCGTGACAGCTCTCAATCACCTCTGGGTCTCTTCATTTTATAGGAGACCATGAATGGTAGATTATTCCTCTGGGGAATCTTTTCTTGTCCCATCACTAAATAGCAATGTGACAGCTAAAAGACCAGGACAGTTTCTCATATATATATATTTTTATATATATATAAAAGCTTAAGTGTTAATGGAAGGAGGTCTCATATCTACTCCTCAACACTGGGCAGAGAAATCAGGTGAGCAGCAGAGAATACTCCAGAAGTCCCTGGGCTGAGACTTGGGTACAGCAGGGCGCGAGGGCTGGTTTGTTGGCTTTGGGGTTTTGGCCAAATGAGATGCATGAGAAGTCACGTCACTAGGGTGGAGAATGCGGGGTTCAGAGCCCCTGCCGTGAAGGACCTGCTGCAAAGGTGGGGAAGGGGAAAGCAGCCTGATGTTACACTAGAAAGGTAGAAAGGGGAAAGCCGTCTCCAAAATACATCACCCGCTCTTCTGGGGGTCTGAGCATGAGCAGCCGGAGAGGGCAAGGATCCCATCTCTGCCTCCCGGCCACTACGGGCAGCTCAGGCAGTAGAGGAACTCGAAGCAGGAAAGGATTTGTCTGCAACTTCAGAGAGGTCCTGAGCAGGCAAGAGCCTGTCTGCCGTTTGGCTTGGCTCCATCTGCTCCCGTGGCTTTCCAGAACTGGTTTCCCACTCGTTAATCCTGACCTTCCTTTCCAACACGCTCATCTCCAGAGTAAGGACCAGCTCTGCAACCAGATCTCTGGGTTGGGACAATGTCTGATCCCAGACTAACTTTGGTCTTGACTTGGACCATTGGGAGTGCATTCAGCTCCTTCCTGGGGGGAGGTGGGAACCGTTCCTAATGACTTGCTCCTCACCTAAAAACCAAAACGCTCTGCACTTAGGCAGGGCTTTGCAGAGCTCAGCTAGTTCTGGCATTCTCCAGAGTAACAAACAGATCTTCCAGCCTGGCCTTATTTCAGATGAAGATCAGCGTTCCCAGCACCACATTGCACCAGTTTCCAGCTGGGCAGATACACAGCCTTGCTGGGACAGAAAGCCAAAAGGAGACAAGCACTGGCTTGCATGAGAAATACAGAAATTAACCTGAAGGAGGAAATGAGGCCAATTGAGGATGGTTGTGTTCTGCTGAGGAACTCCCTTGCAGCAAGAGGAAAAGCAGGCAACTGCAAATCCAGCAGCTTTCAGGTTATGTTCTGGAGCTGCAAATACCTAGGACAGGCAGTGCCCAGACCAGGGGGGGAGCCGCAGGACTCCAGGCCTGCACTGCTAACCCAAACGAGAGCTCTGCTGTCATCTCAGGATCAGGATGCACGACGCTACTACGCTGAATGCTGTAGGCATTCCCCCAGCGTTTGGGAAGATCCTGGCAGCTCCCCAAGCTTTGGGCAGTGCAGCACTGAGGTTAGGCTCCGTGGGATGGACTGCCCCATCCTGGACAGACGCCAAGAGCTCTCCCCCCTTGCACACACCTGCACCCCACTGACATTCATGCACGGGGCCTCCTTAGCAGCGCTGCCTGCCTGAGCACATCATTTAAACTCGGTGTAACTGCCTGAAGTTTCCAGGTCAATAAGACCTGCTCACATCCAACTGCACTCAGGTTACTGAATCGATTTATACCCAAATGGGCAAGCTAAAAAGCGTCGAGTGCTGACAGCGTTCAGGAAGATCATTTACAAGCGCCTCAGCCACACAGCCAGAACGGGTTTTCTCTCATGACGCCGCTGCAGGAGAATCCTTCCAACAGGCGCTAGCAGGGGAAGAGGAGGCATCTCAGCCATCACACAGCGCAAAAAGCAGAGGGGAAAGAAACAGAGCGGGGAACCCTGCACTCGCAGCGCCTGGGCAGCGCTCGCGAGCCGGGCTGTGACCCCGATGCCAGATTTGACGTGCCTGCTCGAGGGCAGGCGGGTTCCTCTGCTGCCGTCCCGTACAGAGCTGCACCAAGAACCAGGGCTTCAGAAATCGGACTGTGTCCGCTGACCTGTTTTCTGGCTGGCGCCTACACACACAGAGAAATCCAGCGGCTGAACACAGACACCGTTTTCGAAGGGACACCAAGAGCCTACCGCTCTCAAGTCTGAAATGCCTCAGGCTCAGCTGGGAGAGGTACTGGGTGGCGGCTTCTCAGCTGCAATGGGCCTGTCAGCAGAGCTCAGCAACTGAAAGAAAATCTTAACACACAAAATAGGATCTATTTTTCTATCCACCACTCCGGGAAAGAAAAGGCACCTGACCTGAGCAGGCTGTGCCCATGCCAGCACGAAGGAGAGGCTTGCACACGGGGTCCACGCTGGCTCCAGCGCATCCTGCAGCAGAGCCCCGGCAGGCGGAAGGGGAGAAGGGCAGACGGGGAGAGCTCACGGCCTCTTCAGACAAAGCGCAGAGCATGCGGCAGCAGCTGAACTCAGCACGCGATGAGAGGCAAAAGCAGCAGCCTGCAGTTTGGGATGCTGCCGGGTGGTTGGCAAAAGGGAGCCTAAATCCGTCAGCAGAGACCAGCCTGCTCACAGCCAGATTTCAGGGCTCTGCAGCCCTCAAACCCCCGATCTCTCACCTCCCTTGTGGGCACACGGGAATGGGTGTTTCGGCACAGAGGACCCTTCCTCGCCATCTCTGCTAATCCCTCTACCGGAGACTTGCGTGCTTCGGATGTGAGGCACAGGAGGGAGATCCAGAGAGCAAACACAAGGGAGGAGGGCAACAGGGCAGAGAAGACAGGAGACACCCCATGCCCTCACCCGTGAGGTTCTACTTTGCTAGAAGGTGCCTGTTCAGTAAAATAAATCTGAACCTTACCTCCAGTATTTAAAACGCTTATGAAGCGAAAAAAGCAGCCCTTCACCTCTGGTGACTGGGACAGGGCGGGCTCCCCGTGTGATCTGACTGATCAGTATCTTCACTGTAACCTTGGTTCAGACGTAACTACTATGAAATTGCACTTGGTGATTGTCTCGTTACACTTTTTTTTTATCCTTCCTAAAATTAGATTTATTTTCTGTACAAACTTGGCTTGAAATATAAACCACATAAAATTCCCATTGAAAATAATGAGAATCCAGTATCAAAGATGAAGTCTCAAGAGAGACAGGGCGGGGGGAGGAAGCAAAGGAGAGCAAGGGTGGAGGAAAAGAAACAACAACAAAATGAAAGGAGGAGGAGAGCTGTGAGAAGGGGGGGAGCAGGGAGAGCTAGTCTCCCACATCGGAGTCCCGGTCACCGATGAGCCAGAGGATGTGAAAGCTGAGAGCGAGGAGACCTGTTCCAATCAGGTCCCCCAGCGCTGTCAAGTATGGGATGGAGAAGTTGTCAGGATCGAGGTCCCTGCCCCACATCCAGTGCACCATCCAGTCAGCAATGTACAGGAGAATGAGAACCTGGAAGGCAGGAAGAAAAGAGCCACATCAGCCAGGAATCCGGACCTCTGGGATCCCCCCCTTCACGGAGCATCAGCTGGGGCAGCTCCAGCTGGAGAGGCCAGGCTCAGAGATGCACAACCCCAACCCAAGGAACAGAGCTGGTGGCAGGTCAGGACCGCCTTGCCGAGCACTGCAGCCTGGGCATTTAATGCAGGCTGCATCCCTACAGCAACAAGTACAGCACAAAGAGGAACTTGGCGAGTTTCAGGGGGCTCCTGCGCTTCTAATCCCCTGTGTCCTTAACAGCTTCTGCCCTACCCTTCTTTAGCTTCATGTCATCATCAAATTTAGGCTCAGAAGGGAGAAGACTGGCACCCAAACACCAAAAAGTCTGAATTTTGCATCTTAGCTTTCAGGTCTAACCAGAATAAGCTTGAAGAGATATGGGGCAAAGAGGGGACTCAGAAGCACACAGGAAGGGACAGCAATGCCTGGCTTCCAGAAATAAAAGAGCAAACACCCAGCAGCTGAAACCACCGGGGCGTGATGTTCTCCCCCGTCTGCTTCAATGCAGCGAGAGGCTCGTATCGATACCTAAAGACAGGAGAGATCCACATTGGATCCTCTCAAGCCTGGGACAAGGATGCGAAGTGGCCGCAGACCCGTTGCTAATGGCTCTGGTGTCTCTGGGGCTGGGAGGGTCTCGCTCGGGACACAGCAGAGCTCAGGACCACAGCAGTCAGCACAGGGCAGTCCCTCTGCTGCCAGCTCCCACCCTGCTGCCCCCCAGCCTGCAGGATGCTCACAGCAGTGGCTCCGCAGAGCGGCTGCGAGCGGAAGCCCCCTCCAAGCGCCCAAGCACCCAGAAGGAATTCACAACCTAAATTTAGCCTCCTGGATGACAGCACGCTGCTCTTGCCTCTGATGGATGCTCTGACTCATTTCCTCATGCTGGCCCCGGTTGTTGATTTTAGGGGGGCACTGAAACCATGCACGGCTTCCACAGGCGAAGGGGGTGGGTGGAGGGGGAGTGCAGCTGGGCTTAGTAGGAAACTCCCTAACCAGAGCATCTCTCCCGGCTCTGCCACGCAGGCAGCCGGACTCCTGCAAGCGGCCACTGGATTTCTGTGGCATGAATATCCCGGCCTGTGTACGTCCCTCAGAACCACCATCGTTATGGGCTCACACAGCCCCTGCGAGGAGACCGGGAGCCCCGCGCCGCAGGGCTGGCAGATCTCTACCCTGCAGGGGAGGCAGGGAAAGGGCAGGACAAGCCACACAAGGCATGGGGTTCCTGCAAATTCCACATCCTGTTTTCTTCAACAGCATTTTTAAAATTGCTAAAGTACCTTATAGGGCAGATTAACACACAAGAGGTAAATGCTTCTGCTATCAGAAGGACTTAAAAAGAACAAAAGACAGATTCAAAACTTGCCAAGAATGGTAGGAAGGAAGAATTGCATGTACAGGTATCAACAAAGAAGGGTTTATTTAGTTTGATACCGGCTCATTTGACAAATACAATCTACTTGGCATCCCTCTCCCCAGCACATAAATCTCTTACCTAGGGGTAGGGTATATCGCAGCGCCTTCAGCAGCGTGCCTGCGACTTAGCTGGCTGAACAGGTCCCCGCTGCAGATGACACGGCAGCGTCCCCTTATCCAGCCCGAGGGGTTACGGCCCCCGGGAGGGCTCCAGCTTACCTGGAGAAGTGCAGCTGTCATATAGAAGACTATGAAAATCAGCGTGAGGGTAGTGTGTCCACCTTGCATGGAGCTGATGGTGTAAAGGAAAACCAAGTGTCCAGGCACCACCAGAAGAAAGAGCACGCGAGCAGAGCGAGAGTTCACATCTGCAAAAGGAAACAAAGACGGAGTTCAGGCTTAAGATAGGCTTGAACACACAGCAGCTCTGCAGCCTCCCTAGGCTTCAGGGGCCAAGGCAGCACAACTATGGTCAAATCAGAAGCAGGGACCAGCACACCAGATCCTCATCCCCACACTGCAGATTTAGGCTGGAAGGCAGCACCCTGAATGATGACCCAGCTGTCAGGACGCCCAAGGACTCTTTGCACCAAGCTCATTAGCAGAGCTTAATTCCGTCCCCAGAGCAAAAGCTGTTCTCAGACCTCAGCTGCTGAAAGGACTTCTGTCCACCTCTGACAGCGCTCAGTGCAGAGCCGTCAAGAATTTACCACGGATGTTAAATTTCCTCGCAGCTCTGTCTCCACTTGGGCTGGTGATCCGTTTCCCAACAGATCCACCACCACGTTCAAGACCTCTCACCCCTGCTTGCTCTTCAGGCACAGCCGTGGCCCAGAAGGCACAAGCCAGGCTGCAGGCTATCAGGCCTCTCTAGGAAGTCTGGGGAGTAATAACCTGGCACTCTGGGCCAGAATGCAAGTTTGGGCTGTGTTCTGCCACACAACTGCCACAAAAACCAGCGCTGTTGGGGAGCCTTCGTGAGGGGCTTTCTGTAACTGCAGCTCTATAAGCCCAGCAGAGCTGCAACACTGGAGCAGCCTCAAGGCAGGCTTCAGTATCCTGGACTGCTGGGGTAATCAGGGGTGGGGGGGGAGATTAAATTTGTGGATAAAGACAGTTTAATAGGACAGAAAAGGAAGGGAAAATAATAATAGTAATAATATAAAAAATAAGTGATGTGCAATGCAACTGCTCACCACTCGCTAACCAACACCCAGCCAGTTCCCAAGCAGTGGTCACTCCCCCTGGCCAACTCCTCCCAGTTTATATACTGGGCATGATGTCATATGGTCTGGAATAGCCCATTGGGCCAGTTGGGGTCGGCTGTCCTGGCCGTGCCCCATCCCAGCTCCTGGTGCCCCTGGCAGAGCTGGGGAAGCTGAAAAGGCCTTGACCAGTACAGACACTGCTTAGCAACAACTGAACCATCAGGGTGTTATCAATGTTCTTCCCATACTGAATCCAAAACACTGCGCTATGCCAGCTACTAGGAAGAAAATTAACTCCATCCCAGCTGAAACCAGGACTTGGAGAAATCTGGAAAAGACGTAGAGGGCAGAGGATTTACAGTGTTAGACAAGCAGGGCACGGGACTTCTGCGTCCTCACCCAGCAGGGCTACGTCCTCTCGCCCAGCAGCTTGGCTAAGGGTCCGGCCGTCTCTAGAGGGCAGGCCAGGCCAGGCCAGAAGACCAGCCCCATCCCTGGGCTGCTGGCTGCCTCCAAGCATTGGCTGCCTTCAGCATGAAGGCTGGCTGCCTTCAGCCACCATTTCCCACGACAGTGCTCCAGCCACTGTCACAGACAAGTTTAGCCAGCCAACTGCAGCAACTGCTGCTGGCAGAAGCCACTGTATTTCAACACCCGACTTGGATACCTGAGCTGAAGAAAGTGCTGCAAGGGCTGGGGCACTTGCGAGGGGCTGTTTCGGAGCTCTCTCCAGGCATCCCACTCATGTGCAGGTAAGTGGAGATGCGACTAGCCTGCACGGCCACCAGGTTGCCACCCACACCTGCAGATAAGGAGAGAGCAGTAAGATGATGTCTCAAGCACTTTAAGGAGAAAGAGCTATTTTCAACGGCCGGCAGATCTGGAATTGCCAGGTGCTGGAATAATGTAGGACAGTCTATTTTTGACCCGAATTCCACTTTTGCAGGATGTAAAGGACTGAGACAAAGCACACTGTTCTACGGTTTCCCCTTAGGCCCCTTAATAAAATAGATGCAATTCTCTTACAACAGCTTTGATTGGAAGAAATACATGAAACAAAAAAATGATGAGTCAGCCACCAAAACAGACACAGGAAGTTTAAAATTATTATTTTGTGCATAAGGCATAATGAAACTGTGGAACCCACTAGCACAAAACATACTGGCTCAAAATTAACTCCATTTGCAAAAAGTAATAAAAGAAGAAGTTTCCCTTGTTCATTAGGCAGAAAGGAGGTCAACACCTTATACCAGAAGCAATTAGATTTCCTGATTCTGAGTTGCAAATCCAAATCCTTATGCCACAAGGCAACTATCTTGGAAGATGGGGGGTCTTCCACCGGCCAGGAGGAATCAGGAAATGAAGACTTTTTTTGGTTGGGCCCCTGGAAAACATGTCTTTTAGGCAACAGCCTCCCAGGCCAGTTACCCTCTGGTGAAAGGCTGGCACCAGAGGGAGCCACACTGCTGTGAAGCTTTGGTCTAACCACCGTGTCTCACTGTCAAAGAGAATCACTCTCCTTAATCTGCCTGAAATAACGCACACGGGACGATTCCGCTGTCTGCCAAGTGTCTCCAAGAGCTGCAATTCCAGAATGAAAAGGAACTCACCATTAATAACTGGTGTGAAGACAGCCATCCCAGCAAAGTTTGGGTCTGAGACTGTTCTGTCCAAAATTAAACCCCCAACACTGCAGAGGGAAGATTGAAGAGGTCAGTGCTGAAAGCTCATTAGGAAATACACAAAGCACTGGGGGTTCTCTCTGCTACCATGTGTGCACCCAAGGGTGATATATACACCTGTGAGCATGCACTTAAGGCTGCAGTTGTTGCACACGATTTTAATCCTCAATATTTGATAACAGAAGACAGCTTTAGCAGAATCTTTTCTCATTGCTGCCAAAAAGCACCAAAGACTAAACCCCCCAACGTACAGTTTACTGCAACACAATAATCAACAGCAATCCCGCCCTTCAGAGGGCTCTTGTGCAGAAGACTGCTAAATGGGATCTGTGTTTACTCTGTGGCCATGCCAGAGCCTCCCTGTGCAGCAGCTGGCACATTGCTAAGGCCCTGGATTCCAGCAGAGAGATGCTTAATCACTCCTGTCCCTCAGGATCTAGAACCCCGTGTCTTTGTCTAGAAAACACAAAATAACCTCTAGTTTCCTGGCAGTCTGGACCATGGAAGCAGAAGAGGTTTGGTTTCATCTTGTTCCAGAACCTACCAAGGGCTAAGGGGTTGAAAGGGTTGGGGGAAAGGGTGAGTTGTGTCTGTGTTTGGAAAAGGGTGAGTTGTGTCTGTGTCTACCTGCTAATAGCCATTGCGATAATGACTGGCTCCCAGCCAGAGTACAGCACCTCCCGAGTTGCTGCATTCTTCTTGGCAATGATGATCCAGATGGGCAGCAGAGCTATGAAGAAGGCGCATACCAAAGGATTCACGTAGGCTTTGCTCTCTGAGGGGGAAATAAGCAGAGGCAACAGATCAAGGACACGTCCCGCTGCAGCAAGGTGGGGTGCTACTCCGGCTGAGCTGATCCAGCCTGCCTACAGACTGCTGTCACCCCTGGAATCAGAAACTCCAGGAAGGGCAGGCAAATGAGACCAGACCAGCCTCAGCTCTGCAGGACATGGCATTTCCTTCTCCTGGTGTACTTACAGGGGCTTTATCAACAGATCCAAGTGAGATCTCTTCAATTTCTAACTGCTCGTTCCCAATTCCCACTCCTGGGCAAGACCTCACAGCGTTGCTTCACCTTTGGCTGAACCTGTCTGAGTCACATCCCCTGCATCCCAGCCGCCAGGGAAGGAAGGTGGAGGGGAGGGAGGAGGAAGTCTAGAGTCTACAGCTGCAGCTCTGCACTGAGGATCTCCAGCTGGTGCTGACAATACAAAAGATGAAATCTAAACCTGCCTTCTCCCACTGCTTTAGCCACAATCAAGCCCCTGGCACTTGGAAGGAGACCACCTCTCCCTTACCACTTTACCTGGTAAGAAGGAAGCATGCAGATCACTGCCAAGACTGTCTGCAGCTACAAGGCAGTAAGAAGGTCCGTTTCCTCCCCTTATCAGTTCTGACTAGGTCTCACTAACTGGGGTAGCTTCCAGGCCAGGCTTCCTATATACCCCGAGAACAGGAAGGGCAAAGGAAGAGGGTGAATTGCAAGGGAGATGCGGCAGCACGTGGAAGGACCAGGGAGACAAAAGACTTTTATTGCTCCTCACCCAGCTCTTTGTACAAGCCCCAGCTGATTCCTGAAAGCAGAGCCAGGGTGATAAGATCCCCCAGGCTGGCAGCAATTGGTGTGGCGACGTTATCAGGATTGATCCCCATCTTCCTGGATCCGATGATGACCCCAATCATAATCATGCCTACAGCCAAAAAGAAGAAGAAAACAGGATGAGGCCAAGGACAGCCCATTATTTAGGAAGAGGTGGATGGAGGGTGTGCAGGCTCTGTCTCTCACCCAAAACAAGGGAAGCAATGAAAGCAGTAGCCACGCTGCTGGCACACAGCAGGACAGCATGGTCAATGCTGAAGTGCCCATCTGGGATCCATCCGAATATCACTGCTGCAATCGAGGCCAGGAAGCCAACCACAGTAGCCTGAACCTGAAAATAAAAACTAGATGGTCACCAAGAGGACTAGAGAGAGAAATGGTCCTGGGCTGAGGGAAGAGGGAAACACCACCCAGGGTACCATCATTTCAGGTGAATTAGCATCTAGCAGGGAAACACCACGTCTCACCCACAGAGCAAACCGTAACGGTACGATGACTGTTGGACAAGAAGCTGACAATACCAAAGCCCAGGCATTTAAACCTGATGCTCGCCACAGTTGGCTTACACCAACTACCAGTACTCCCACTTTCTTCTCCTTTCCCAATCCTTACCTGTATCAGAGCCATGTTCCCCGTTATCATCTTCCAGAGCTCTTTGGGTGTATCCATTTGGCCAATATTAGCCTGCAAGAAGACATCCCAACATCATTAAAGACAGACAGCATTTTGCACTCAAATTCCTGCCTTCCAGCTATGCAAGTTTGTGCCAGGAGCAGGAGAGAATAACAACCTCAAATCCTCAGCTCTTACGGAAGAGCAATTCGGTAGCAAAAGTGTACGTGTCCATGCGTGCATGTATGTGTGTACAGCTGGGGCATAGCTCTGCAGTAACACCCCAGTCTGTCACATGCAGTCCTGTGAAATGTCACTTGGGCTTTACAGCCTGGGTAACTACAGTGCCTCTTCCAACAGTTACTCTGGTTTTGTACTCTGGAACACCAAAGCTGTTCCCAGTTTCAGCTTCAGC